TGGCGGGGCGGGGGGGGGGGCGGATAAATGACCTCAGGGGGCCACATGCAGCCTGCGGGCTGTAATTTGGGGGATGCCTGGTTTATTGGATAGGGAGTCCTTTCTCTGTTGCTTATTTTTGTTAACCTTGTCAAAGATTAGATAGCTGTAGGTGTGTGACTTTATTTTTGGGTTCTCTATTCTGTTGCATTGGTCTTTGTGTTTGACTTTGTACTAGTATCCTGCCGTTTTGGTTACTGTAGCCTTATAGTATAGTTTGAAATTGGGTAATGTGATGCCTTCAGCTTTGTTCTTTTTGCTTAGGATTGCTTTGGCTATTTGGGCTTCTGTTTTGTTGTTGTTGTTGTTGTTGTTGTTGTTCTATATAAATTTTAGAATAGTTTTTCCTAGTTCTCTGAAAAATGATATTGGTTGTTTGATATTTGATAGTAATAACATTGAATCTGTAGATTGCTTTGAGCAGTATGGCTGTTTTAATGATATTGATTCTTCTAATCTCAGAGCATGGGATATTTTCCCATTTGTTTGTGTCATCTGTGATTTCTTTTAGCAGTGGTCTGTAGTTCTACTTCTAGAGATCTTTCACCACCTTGGTTAGATGTATTCCTAAGTATTTATTTTATGTGGCTATTTTAAAAATAGGAACAAAATTAAACGTTATTATCATTAAATAGATTATTTGACTTTGGTGCCTTGGCTTGCGCACTGTTGGCTTGTCTCTGTTGAGGTGCAGTATCACATGTGATCAAAGTAAAGAACATCAGTTCCATGGTGGTGCTGGTTGGCTGACAGTCCCAATGCACTTCTTTGCTTTTAGTGTGCTGTTAGGATTACAATTTGTATCTCCTGGATTAACAGAGATACGGATTATATTACCTGTTTTTAAATAAAGTAATGCTTACAAAATGAACAAGTGGCTAAAAGAAGACTGTACAGAAACTACAGATTGAAAGTAATATTAATGATATAAACACAAGGTAAAAAAAAGAAAGCAGCAGAGTTAATACTACTAGTCTGTAGCAATTTGAGATAAAATACAATGACATCATCATATGTGGTGAGAAGTAAGGCAAAAATGGAAATTATTAAGGAGACATCTGAAATACATACATATTTGCCTATATATTTGTTAAAGATGACTCTGGCCCTAAATATGTATCCCATCTTAAAATCTTACCTAGTGGAAATATAAAGCCCTAAGTATTAATTTAGCATTAAAATATTTATTTTGTCTTTATCTTCAAAATTTTATGTCTTTAATATATAAATATAGTAGCACATATGTATGTTTTATTTAAAATACACATACTACAGTTGCATGTTGCATGCTAAAATATTTTCTTAATGAGAGAGAAGCACTGGTCTAAGTAAGCAGTTAGTGTCTCTGACTCAGGTGGTAGCAGTGGAGATGGAGATGATTGGGTGTCTTCATGTCTTTGAGTAAAATGTGCAAAGAAGAACCAGTGGAACTTTGTGATTAATTAGATAAAATGGGAACAGTGAGACATTGGGTTAAGGTTAACTGCCACATTTGCAGTCAAACCAGGTGGAGGATGGGACCATTTTTTGAGACTTAGGTTTGAGAGGCAAGAACTCTGAGTTCAGTTTTAGGCATACTAAGTTTGTAATACCAGTGAATTATCCAAGTGGTCAGTTAAATACTCCACTGTCGATATCAGAAGAGGGACTGGATCAGAAATATTACTTGCTACTAGTGATCTCCGTATATGTGGTAACAAAAGGCATGGATATGATTAAGATCACCAGGGGAGAAAACACCTAGTGAACGGAGAAGAAGGCCAAGGATTGGGCACTGAAATGCAGACTTAGGATGGAGGGAAAGCCTGTACCAGAAAACAAAGGGGAATAAAAGGCCAGAGAATTAGAAGGAAAACAAGGCGAGCAGGTCATTATGGAAACTAAAGGAATGACAGGGGAAAGTGGTCAGGCATGTCCAATGATGCCAAGAATTCATGTTAAATGACGGCTCAGAAGTTCCAGGAGTAAGCAATGTGCAGATTATCCATAACATTTTAGAGAGCTGTTTGGAGAGTTAAAAAGTCCAAGACAGAAAAGTCTGGTGTGAATGGTCTTGCTGCTAAGTGAACATGGACCCATCACCCAACTAACTGTATTTTTTAATTCCAAAATATTTGTTTTCTGATTATGAAAATGTGCTTTTTAATTAGAGAAGAAGGAGGAAATACAGAGACAAATGAAGACAAATAAAATGGTCCCCCATTTCCCAACCGATGTCAACTAAATTAATATTAATCTATTGATATTTCCTTCATATACTTATTAATACAGATACAGTTATTTTTATTTCAATATTGTAGACTAAGTCGTGTTAATCTTATTATTCTGCTTTGGTTTTTTTACATTTCTTCTTACCTTTAAGTATTTTTGAAATTTCGATTTTGGCTGGATGTGGTGTCTCATGTCTGTTTTCCCAGCACTTTGGGAGGCCGAGGTAGGAGGATCGCTTGAGCCCAGGAGTTTGAGATCAGTCTGAGCAACATGGTAAAATCTCATAGCTAAAATGTTTTTTAAAAATTAGCTGGTCTTGATGGCAATCCACCTGTAGTCCCAGCTACTCCAGAGGCTAAGACATGAGTCCAGGGAGATTGAGGCTGCAGTGAGCTGAGATTGTGCCACTGCACTCCAGCCTGGACAACAGAGAGAGATCTTGACTCAATAAACAAAGATTAGTATTTTTAACAGCTGAAAAATATTTCTGCATCTGATTATATCAAAATGAATATGCTCATTAACTTTGGCCAAGTAAGTCATTTGTAGTTTTCACATATATATATATAATTCTATATGAGCATCCTGTATATAAATCTTTGACTAGGAGGCATTCATAAAAGTGATACTCCTGGTTCTTCAAAGGCTTGCTGTCTCTCTGTCTATCCAAGATTCTTTGAGGAAGTACTACTTAGTACCCATTATACTCTTTCAGCATCATTTTGTACACTTTCATGCACACTCTAATCTGTCTTTTAAAATTGTGTATTATATTTGTATTATAAATAAATGTATTTCTTAAGTACAGTATGTGTTTGCATTTTGCTTTTTATCCTAATTGAATCTTATCCTTTAATAAGCACACTTAATACTTTTATATCGATTATTATAATTCATATACTTTATAGTCTGTCATCGTATGTTATGCCGTTTCAAGTTTCCTGGGTCTTTACCCTTTTCCTCTGATTTTTGCAGTGTGGACTTGGCTTTGTTTTGCAGTTGCCTCAGATACTGACTTACAAAGCTTATGCTTACAAACTATTCCAGAAGAAAAATGTCGTTTCCTGAGATTAATTGGCTGCATGATATTTGTTTTGGGAAATTACTTGTTTGCAAAGCCACTGGTATATTCCAGGGGACTGCCACTCTTTAGAACATTGGTGTTTTCTTTATATTCCACTTGTCTTGGACTTGTCTTTCTCTCATTAACATTTGTCAATTCTTTCCAATATGCTGAGGAAGCTGAAAGAGAAAAAAAAAATGTTCACTGACAGTTGAGTGTCTGCAGTATAGTCCTTATTTACACAGAAGATTTTGTTTAATCTTAATAATCCTGTGAAGCAAGTACATTGTCATTTTACAGATGAGGAGACTAAAGTTAAAAGGCATACTTGGTCCATTTAATGTCCTTAGTAAATAGTAGAGTCAGAATTCAAACTCAAGGTTGTTCTTCAACAAATACTTATTTAGTGCTTACTCTATAGAAATTGTTGTACCCTTTATGATACATACACAAAAATCCCTGCCCCCATGGAGCTGAGACTCTAGTGAGTAGAGAGAGACACTAAACAAGAGAGGAGGTAAACATATTGGGAAAGAATGTGACAAGCACTGTGTAAAAAGTAAATTTGAGCAGAGTAAAGGAACTCCAGAAAAGGTGACAGGTTTCAGTTTTAAATTGGGAGGTCAGTGCAGGCTTCCTTGGAAAGTGATGTGACTGTAGCTTCATTTCTTTGTACCACACTACACTGCTGCTGCCGTGTTAAAATTCATTACTGTTGGATTACCCCCTCTTACCAAATTAGGGCCCTAAGGCTTTCTGAGTTTCTTATTACTGTGAATGTAAATCTTCATTCCTCCATAAAGTAAGAGGGCAAGGACTTTTTTTTGTTCTGTTTTGTTTTGCCATAAGATTTTTCCAAGCCTAACCTCATTTAAAACTTCAGCTTTCTTTACAGTATTTTTTACAAGCAATTTCCTCTCTCATTATATTTTTCATGGTGATTTTACTTACTTAACATGTCTTCTTTCACAACTGATATGCTTTTGAAGAGATTTGTGTCAGTGGAATTTTTGTGAATAACATTACATTTTAAATTCCATTTTACTTTTTTATAACTTGGATAGTTGTGCCTTGTATTTTGTGTGTTAATATTTTTAGTTATGGGGCTGTTTCATGCATGTTGAGCCAGGTGGGGATGTGGCAGAGCTTATATGAAATAAACTTGTTACCTTCCTTAGTTAAACAAAGTGTGTATAAGAAATAATAAATTTCTGCTTATGATACTTAAAACAACATTAGCTTTTTATTTTACAAGTGGTACTAAACTGAGGGGGATCACCAGTGAGAAACGTCTTATGCCCTTTAGGTTATAGAGAGAGATGCCATCTAGACCATAAAGCATTTTGCGTCAATAGTTTACGAAATGGCAAATACATTCCATTAGGATAAGAAAGGTATTGTTGCCCCAGGGAGTTGTTTCTCCGGAGATGTTTAAATCCAACAGCTGGGAAAAGGAAAAGGTTTTGAGGTACAAAGGACACTGATTAAATGCAGTAACTCTTATTAATTTTCTTTGCCCAATAGTGTGGATGTTAAAGTTTGTTTATTCCAAGAGTGATTTTTGTTTTTATGCCTGTGACTACATATTTGATCATAGAAATTTGCATAACATGTATTGTATAAGTGATAAATTGGTGTATCTTCAGGTTTTTCAGTATAATATGGTTGGTCTTTGGGTCTTTTCTAGGTTTGTGACTTGGCTTTTAGCCTGAAGAAAATGCTGATTCGACACAAGATGACTCATAATCCCAATCGTCCACTGGCAGAATGCCAGTTTTGCCATAAGAAGTTTACAAGGAATGACTACCTCAAAGTGCACATGGACAATATCCATGGTGTAGCTGACAGCTAATGGGGGCTGTAAAAGAATTAAACTATTCAGAAAGGCTCCTAATATGAATCCCAGATTTTTCTCACCTGATCAGCATAACAGAAGTAGCCAAAAGTAACTTACTGGTCTCATAGTTCTTATTTGCCTGCATTTAGAGTCTGTAGATGCATATGCAACCAAAAAGAGTCTTATTCTTACTGAGAAATGGTATAAATGGAAAAAAAACCACAACTCTGTAGCCTTGCAAAATGCAAGTTGTGCTCTGTCTTATAAAAATGGAGAAAGGAGTCATGGCTCTCTTTCTTGGCCATCTCTCTGTAATGAAGTTTATTAATATACTTCCCTAATAGGCCTCTTTATTTTATTGTTATTCTTTGTGTGTATGTGTCTGTGTGTGTGTGTGCACTCACTTGCAAATACTGATTGTTGCAGCTGGTTTTACCAATTTAAATAGAAATAAATCAAGATATCCTACTATTTCTTTGCAGATAAGGGTAAGAATAAGAGTTATCAAAGTCTCCAGTGTGATAGGAAAATAAATACTTGCTATTTTATAAAACATATCAAGAGTTGATCTTATCTACTAACTATGCAATCTGCTATCTTATCTACTAACTTATCTACTACTATCTTATCTACTAACTATGCAACAAATGAGTTTAAAATAGAGATATTTGATAACTAAAACATCTATCAAAATATTGCTCATTTTAGAGAATTCTTAGGAAGCATGATTTACTCATTCAGGTGCAAACATTCATGGTCTGGGATACTTTTATAAATTCTACACAAAAATAATTGTCACATTTAAACATTCATCAGTCTATGCCTCTTGAATTTAGACCATTTAGCTTTAGAAATTAACAGTATACCAATATATATAATTAAAAATAGAAATCAAATAGATTCTCCATATTTGGTGACAGAGGGCAGAACAATAGTGACAATTCCACATCGTTTATGATCAACACAGCCCTTTCCCCCTGTCCTTCCATAAAAGTGCACAGAACATGTTAGTGCAGATACAGTCCTCAGAACATTAACATTCAATTTTGCAAAAGACATTTTCCAGAATTTTGGCAGTAGGTAATTCTGAAACACTTTTGAATTACCTTCAGTCATCCCTCATAATTAGGAATCCAGAATACAAAGTACAAACCTGGCAATTGTTATGATTGAAATTGTCACTAATGCTTAAGGGAAATTGAAGCAAGAAGCAGCATTTCTTCCTTTAGGTTATATTTCAGCAAAATACTTGACAGTAACATACAATGAACAGTTTGTTTAGAGAGATGATATGATACAATATAATAATGATGTCAAAATAACCTAGAGGAATCCAAAAACCAGAAAAACATTTAAATGAAGCCCAACTCATGAACTTCTCTAACCGGAACCCACTCAAAAGCGAGGAAGTGTAGTTTTTTGTTGTTTCTTTTTCTTTTTGAGACAAAGTCTCCCTCTGTTCCCCAGGCTGGAGTGCAATGGCACGATCTCGGATCACTACAACCTCCACCTCCCAGGTTCAAGTGATTCTCCTGCCTCAGCCTCCTGACTAGCTGGGATTACAGGCACACGCCACCGCACCCAGCTAATTTTTATATTTTTAGTAGAGACAGGGTTTTGCCAATTGGTCAGGCTGGTCTCAAACTCCTGACTTTGTGATCTACCCGCCTTGGCCTCCCAAAGTGGCGTGAGCCCCACCTCGCATGCCGGTGGTGTGAGCCACCACGCCCAGTCAAAAGTATAGTTTTAAGGAAGTTATTTGGTTCTAATTAGTTAAGGAGAAGGGTTATCTGAGATGCAGTTCTTTGACTTCAGGAATATCATTGTAGAATTATATTCATGCCCAATTCCAGTTTTAAAAAGAAAGATTCAATATATTCATTTGAATGTAAAATACTAAATTTGAATCTTAGAGATAACTTTTAAAAATATAAATCCTAAAATTATAATTTAGAAGATATTTAAGTATAGTCATATGTAGTATTTTATATCTGAAATTATAGACTGTATTTTGTAAAAATAAATTTTGGTCTTATTTCTCACTATGTCATTTGTTGCAACAACATATTTTTAGATCTAAAGTGTTTTCAATTTAATATGATAGTGTGTTTAATATCATTTCAATATAAAAAGACATCTGTAAAATTTAGTAGTGTGTATTATTTAAACACATCATGTATATTCCTTTGAATGCTGCTTTCTCTACATGGGATGCTTTATATCCCAATTATGTGATGAATGTAAAACTTGAAAGGAGTTCAAATACCAATTTTGTGTAATCAACAGTGAGTCACAATTCACACGGCTGCTGGGGAAATTACCCTGAAAACTGTGTTGTTTCTATGCCGTGGAGTAAACAGATAAGGAAGAGGTGCTGGGCTTTATCCTGCTGAAAGTTTATAGGCAAGGAAATATTTAGAAAATAGTGTAGAAGGACTTACAACAGAGAGTGGTATACTACTCTCTCCTTTCAGAGAACTGAAACCAAAACAAGTTCTTAGAAGACTATTTGTATGCTGTAAATTTTTATCCAAAAGACAAGTATTTACAGATAGTTTTAGATACATTAGCAATCTCTTGCTAAAACTTTTTCTTTTCCAAGTCCTGAAGGAATAAAACTTTTGAATTAGTAATAACCAAAAAAGATAATATTTTAGGCATGATTATTAAAAGCATAGATAATCATAGAGGAAAAGTCTTACCGGCAAGCTGAAGTACAGATACCTACTTTGAAGTGTCTTTTGTTTCTGCTGTGAAAGATTTTGACTGGGAAAAGACCCGACTCTTGGTGCCTATAAAGTCTAAGTAATAGAGTCTTAGAAACTGGCTAAGTTATTTTAAGAGATATTCAATAATGTGGGTGGTTTCAGATACCCTTTTATAATCACTGTCTTTGTATATTAACACTCAAGATATTTATGTGTCTTTAATTTGTCTTTGTTTCACAATAACTGGCTTTTATTTTCCTTTTCATGGTGTTTGTTGCCTACATAGAAGCATTTATTAGTTAATTATGATCAGCAGTTGCAGCATAAAAGTCTTCATTGGTGATACACTCTTGGAGTTACATAGTATAGTTAACATGTTATTTCAAGAAACATGAGTGTGTGTGCGTGTGTGTCTGTCTGAAGAGTATCACTTCTATGCAGTGCTTACACATGCAAGTGCATTACTTTGCTCAAAAATCTTCTGACCTATCGCAGTCAACTCATGCATAAGTATGAACATGTATTATATAGAAAGTCTTACAGCCTTAGTTTCTGTTTTAGATTTTATGTGCTGCTTCCTTTCTCAAACAAAAACTGGAAAGGAAAAAGGATAGGTAATAGAAATATTCATTTTTTTCCCTTCACAAATCTAAATGTTGCTTGGAAACTCATCTTAGAGTCATGAATACATGGAGGTGGGTAGGTAGGAAATGTGTCTCTTTAAAACCCTAAAATGTTACCACTAATATTGACATTTATTTGCGTGCATATAAATGGAGCATGTGTAAACATAGAATTCCAATAGCATTTTTATTATAAATCTATAATAAATCTATATAAATCACTACCAGGCTTGGTGTTAGCGTTTTATTTTAGTATAGAACTATAACTAGTACCATTCTATGGTAAAGTCCAAATGAATGTTTTAAAGTTGTTTTTGATGAATGAAAGAAATGTAATTACCGTTACTTGAAGACCTCATGCTTTTATGGTTTATACATCTAAGTTTTCTCAATCTGCAAAGTATCTCTGAAGTTGAGCCAAGTTGGTCTTAGGACTATGAGAGAAAAACTTTTCCTTGTCTCTATTCTCATTGCTGGCTCTTCAGAGAACAATGTGAAAAGGAGCATCACTCTAAGAATGAATGAAACCTGATATAGTAGCATCTTAAGTAAAAATAACTTGATGCTCATAAATATAATTTAATGATAATAAAAGTTATGGCAAATATTTCAGGTATTCCTTTTTTTAAAAGTGATCTTTATCATTTTGATGTTGCCCCAATCTTGCGATATATTCTTGATACAAAAAAATATGCATGTGAATCGTGGATTTAGAAATTATACATTCATTTTAACTTTGATTTTTCAGAATCGGCTGAGGCACTAGTTCTTTGGAGCTGACTCATAGCCTTAGATAGCTTGGACTCAAAACTATATTATCACCCCACACATTGTTAATTTGTTGTATGACAGAATAAAATATTAACTCTGGAGCCTTCAGTGTGGGCATGTCAAAATATCCTAGATATTCTAGACCCAGGAAATAGTCTGCAATGTAACAGCTATCTTACATACTAGAATGGTGCTGCTGATCAAGTGTCCAAATTCCTTATCCTCCTTCTTTAAAAAATTCTTAATACTGAAACAAATGTTCCTTTTCAGTTAGAAAATATATAGTACTGAGTTTCCTGAAATCAAAAAATATATTTAGTTATCTAAATATTTGATTCGCATATTTAGCTTCCTAATCATGCAGACTTTTAGCCAATTAGAATAAAGTCTTAGTCCTTGAACCCATGCCACCTTATAACATATTACATGGTAGGAGGAAGCTAAGATGTTAAATTATGTCAATAATGTACATGTTTAAAATTAAGAAAGGATATAGGACAACTGACGCTTGATCATCTAAGTTAATGCAAAACAGTTCAAACAAAATATCACTGCTCCTGACAAGGGAAACTATAGACCTATTAGGAATTAGTTACACTTAAAAAATGCAAATAATATCAGTTTGTCTCTCCAAAATAGTATAAAAAGGAAAAGAATTACAGCTCACAGTGGATATGTGAATCACTCCTTTACTGTTTTTTGATTTTGTGTTCTTACAGACCATCTGATAATACTTTTTAATTTTATTTGGTATCTCTTTCTTCAGTTTTTGACTGGCGTATCTCTTTTCATTCTACTGAAACCTTTTATGTGATTATATGAAAATTTTACATTGCTTTTTAATAAACAGATATTAAGATTTCTCAATTTTTATCCTGTCTGACAACATTGAACTGAGTGCTTTTCAGTCTGCAATGATGGCTTTGTCCTGCCTTTCTAACAGTCTCATCTAGCCTTATTTGGATGGTGGGCTGAGCTTGTATTGGAGAGTACTCAAGAGAAATCTGGTGCTTCATACCTAGCAGATGAAATTCATCACCAATGTGTAAATCTAATGAAAGCCTGGTATTGTGGACATAGGCCAGTATACTCTGCACAGTCCTAGCTGCTGATGTAAAACTGAAAGCAAGAGAGTCTTCTAAAAAGTATGCCAGGGGCTTTCTTACCATGGACACATGTATTACTATTGAAAGCTGAATGAATGAATCCATTACTGGAATTAGTTGTTAAAACAATATATTATCTATTCAT